CAACCCTAAATGATATAAAATTATACATTAATTATTTCCTCTCCAGACGACCGCCCAGATTTATTTTGTCGCTTTTTCCATCAAAAATTAAAATGTCAACAAGGATTTGCTCTTAATTTTATCAAATACATAATAAATAATCCTCATTATTTTTAAAAAAATTATCCTAAATTTATATGTCAATAAAAAAAAATATCTTTAAAAATTTATAAATAATTTGCATATAAGTTTCATTAGTGTTTAATGGCATTTTTGTAATTTAAATAGACAGCATTTTTTTTTACTTAACATAAAAAAATATATATCCCTTATCAAATTCTTTGACAAATAATTTCAGAAATGCAAGACATACATTAAATTTATCTGAAAAACAACAATAACCTTATATAATAAACAACATATTTTTTAGATATAATTTTAATTGATCATATAACAAAAAAGTATAAGAGTCGGTTATTAAGTGGTTGTCCAGGCCTTCCCAGTTTCCCTTAATACGGAATTTACATGTGTTTTTTCCCATATTAGACTAATTGGTAAATCAGATATTTCCCGTTCATGTGATGATATTTAAAATAACTATCTCCAAGGTGGGAAAAAATTTTCAAAATTATAATGGGTAGGACTGGGCTTGGAACCTCAAAATTAATATTAGCTTGCACCTGACTTAAGAATATCTTTTACAAATTATTAAAAGTTGAGCTGGGCTTGATAAACTTTTTTAAAATTATAAGATCTTGGATGCTTCCTAATATTGTGAGCTTGAACCTGGCATGACATCTATCTTAAAAAATGAATAAAAATCTCATTCCCCCTCATTTTTGACAGGTTTTCTACTAGTATCAATTATATTACAATATCCAAAATTAATTTTCTTATTTGATTTATTTTTAAATCATTTAAATTTCAAGATTTTTTTTTTTTATAAAAAAAATATTTTATAAATTTATAAAATAAAATTTAATTATAACCTTGATCATAATTAGCGTACGCAGCGGGGAGGGGCAGGGGGACAGATCCCCCCCTCCCCCAAAGCCAAAAAATGCAGACGCCGGATTATATTTTTCAAAAATATTATTGTTAATATTAATTTATATTTGTTAATATTTATTTCTATCTCATATATATATATATATATATATATATATATATATATATATATATTTAATTACATTTATTTATCACATTCATCTACTAAGTTATTTTATCAATCAATTTCGATTTCAAGTTTTCCTTGGCGTAATTTACCTATTATTTTCAAATTTTAGTGGCGTAATATTTATCTAAATTTCGAGTCAAATAATAATTATCTCTGAAACTCCTTGTCCAAAAGGGAGAAAGAAATTGCAAGCTTGTCCAACGAGATCGATTCTCCGCCACAGTAACAGCTTTTATGGAGTTAGAAGAGCCGATTATTAATGCTATTACTGAAATATCAATGGCTTGAAAGAAATATTTCCTCAGAAGCAAGAAAATTATTGTATTCAATACTTATTCCAAATTTTTTTTCTCATTAGAATGTATTATTTAATTATACAACTATTTTATGTAATACTTTTCAAAAACATGACATTGACTTGATTAAGAAGATGAGAATAGCTGAGAGCATTTTATTAGAACTCAAGGAAATTAGAGCTAATGTTGATGAAGAATTTCATATTTTATATGTTATTGTTGAGTCAAAAGCAGAGCTATACGTGTTTAATATTTGTCCCCCTCGACTTGCAACAAGCAAGCTCATCGTCAAAACATTAATATAGGATCAGTAGAAGAGTATTATAAAACAAATGTCCCCTCTCCCAACCTTTTTCATATGGCGATAGAAAAAAAATATAAATATTTGTTAGATTTTTATCATGAAGATGTTTAAATATCTTATGATGCCTTATTAGCTGAATAACTATCATTAAAAGATTAACTATGGTTGACACAGTCCCAAAAAATGCTATGGATGCTTTTTATTTCAAACACATTTTAGATTATATTCCCAATTATTAAAATGGTTATATATATATTAGCAGCTCTTTAGTAAACTAATGAGAGAACATTCACTTTTTTAAGAAGAATAACAGAGCCTTGCAGAGGTACCATTTACAGGACATGGCCCAGATTTTTTTTAAAAATTTTTCCTGCCCGGGTTTTTTTTAAAAAAATTTTCAGGCACGGCCCGGCTGGCCTGGATCAAATTTTTTTAAAATAAATTATATTTATTTTTGATTTTTATAGCTAATAATGGCTTCAAATATTTGGTTTTAAAATATACAGCTCGGCCCGGATATTTTTTCTAAAAAAATTTCAGGCCTAGCCCGGGTGTTTTTTTTAAAAAAATTTACGGGCCCGGCCCGGGTATATTTAAAAAAATTAAAATACGGTCAGGCTCGGGGGCCGGGCCTGCAAGTCTGTGAAAAACATACCTATGAAATACAACATCTGAAAGTAGATTGAATGATTTGGATCTTTTGAATATTTATAGACATTTAACGCCAAGCAAGGATTGATAATTGAAAAATTAGCTCAAAACATACAAAATACAATTATTCCTAATAAACTTTTTGTGTATTAATTTATATTTCCAACATTTAAATTTTTTATACTTTATATATTTTATAAGCTCAAAAAATTCAAATTTCAATTTTGGGTCATTTAAGTGATTCATATCGTGGGTTACATTCACTTTATATTTTATAATTCACATTTATTTTATAGTTTTTCAATGCCGGTTTATATATATAATTTTTTTAATTCACATTAGTTTAAAATTGTGTATTAGAAAAGTTATTAATCCTAATAAATTTATGCTTAGTATTTTTAATTAACAATATTATTTCTTAAAAAAAATTATTATCCCCCCCCCCCCCCCAGACCAAATTCCTACGTACGTGTCTGTTGATCATAGTACAAAAAGTTATAAGAAACATTTATTTTTATTTCATGGATAACAAATAATGGTGCAATCATTAAGCATTATAAAAAATAAATTGTTAGAATTGTTGCAGTGAACACAATTTCAATTCATATTTTTCTCTATAACTTAATTTTTATAGTTATCTCCTATAATATGAGGTAAGATTTGTTATTTCATATAATAACATTAGGGCAGACTCGATTTTATCATGATTCTCTAATTAGTGGTTTGCCCAGGCTATCCCAGTTTCCCTTATTACGGAATTCATGTGCATATATGACTAAGAATTTACCCGTAGACTAATTGATAAATCAGAGATTTTTCCTTCATGTGATGATAAATTAATTTGAAATTTAACTATCTCCGGGCTTGGGAAAAAATTAACAAAATTATTATGGGTTGGACTGGGCTTGGAAAATATTCCTCAAAGTTAATATTGGCTTGCACTTGACTTGGGAATATCTTTTACAAATTATTATGGGCCAGGTTAGGAAAATTTTTTTAGAATTATTATGGCTTGTGCTGGACTTGAGAAAATTTTTTAAAATTATAAGGTCTTGGGCGCTTGAAAATTTTTTCCAAATATTGTGAGCTTGGATTTTTTTTGAAATTTTTTAATGTTAAATGTTAATCTTATGTAATCAGTAATATTTTTACAAAGAATTTTGATATGGGGTAAAAGCTCATTTAAATATATTTTGTCTCAAAAAATAGTTTCCACTCTTAGTCCTAATGGTTTGACTCAATGACATTGGTTGAACTTGACTTGAATGGGGGGGGGGATAAAAATATAAATAGGATATTTTTAAATAAAAGGCAACATCTATCGTAAAAAAACAAATAAAATTCTCATTCCCCGTCATTTTTGACAGGCTTTCTACTAGTAATATTAAAACTTTTAAAAATGGCTTTAAATAATTTCAAGTTTTGTGAGCCACTTATTAATTCAATCCTGGAAGGCATAGATCAGTTCAAATATTGCTTACAATTTATATTTTGATTATCTTTTATTTTCAATACATTCAAACACATCTATAAAAATGAATATATACTACCTGCAATTATTCATCCGCTATTTGAATTGGCCCTGGATAAAATGAGAGGTCAACAAAGGAAATGCTAGAACTTATTTCCAGTTTGAGAAAAAATCCTGATAAGGAAAGAGTAGACTTAATTCTTTTATCCAACACACATACTAAAATATTTTCTGATAAAGATAAAAAAATTTTTGATGAGGAAATGAATGAAGATCCTTATGAAGATGATCTATTTAGCTTTTTTCAAAAGATAAAATATTTTTAATAAATTTCCCGAATTAAAATTTTTATTTATTAAATATAATACAACTCTCCCATCCTCTGAGCAAATTGATCGTGTGAACACTAAGCGCTCTTGTTTGTCTGATCAAAATTTTGAAAATCAATTGTTGCTAAAAATAAATAAAAAATTGTTAAAATGTTATCTAATATATAATAATAATTTTATTTATATTATAATTATATACGTGAAAATTCTTTTTATAAAAAGATCTTATCTTATTATACATTCCTTTTGTAGGAGAAAAATAAATATTTTTTTTGTATATAATATTTAATTTTTTAAGTAACGAGTAACCTGTTACTTTTTAGAACAGCCAGAAACGCGCGTTCTTTTTAAAAAAGATAACGAGAAACTGTAACGCATTACTTTTTTCAGACGTAACGAGTAATGGTAACACTTTTTTTGTAGTAACGTTTATAGCACTACTATTTAGTTATAATCAACTAGTTGTTACTATTCATATTCTAAATATTAGCCACAAATATGTATAACTTAAGACTGTATTATAATTTTATCTGTGAATGAATGAAAAATAAATATTTATTAATTAATTAAATATTTTATTAGCTATTTTACTTTACCCTATCCTCCTTCAAAAAAATTGAAGTAAATCGCCCCACTCCCTCTTTCATGTAGATGCTATATGTAGGTAAATATTTACAAATATCGCTCGATTAAGAAATGATAGTTAATTTATATGTTATAATATAATTAAAAGATGTCATTAGTTATATTAACTGTCAATGCTGTTAAATCTGATAGGACAAAGAGTGATTTCCTTATGATTTCGTCAAGTTCATTTTAGAATGACGGAGTATGGTTATATAGATAATAGATATGAATATTTGTTGATTTATAATATTCCAAGGCAAATAAGAACACCTCAACTTAGATTATATTTTTCAAATTACATTGAGACCAATGCATTCCTCTGTTTTCATTATAAACATAGAAATAATTTAGTGAAAAACTTAACTAATACAAAAAACGTATGCTGTTGTTTTATTAAATTAAGATTAACTTTTATTGCACAATTTATTAATGATTTTCATAACCATAATTGGATTGATAGATATGGTAACATATTAGATAAAAGATGTCAAATCATGCCAATTAATGAAAAAAGTATATATTGTTCAACAAATATTAATTTTTTTTAAGCTATGAAGAATTTAAGTGATGATAGTATTATTAAGCTCCAAGATATTTCCAATCTTCCTGAAATGAATCCCCCCTTCATTATCCCATTTGGGAATGTAGGAACACCCACAGAATATTTATACAAAAAAATAGAAGAATGTAAGATGCCAACACAACTTATTTCAAGATTAGGTTTAAAGTTTTCAGTTAAAGATGATTATATATAAAAATTAGGCTTAAAGTTTTCAGTTAAAGATGATTATATAAAAGAATATGGAAATGTTGGGATGACTTATAAAGGTAGGAAATTAAAAACTATATAAATCAGAGACATGCAGATGCACCATTTGCCTTGTCCAGATTTTTTTTTCAAAATTTTTTTTTTAGTCCCAACCCATGTTTTATATTTTCAAGCATGGCCCGGTTTTTTTAAAATAATTTGGTTTTAAAATATACTGATCAGCCCAGGTAATTTTTTTAAAAAAATTTTCAGGCCTTGGTGTTTTAAAAATAAAATTTAGGATTGCCTCACGATATATTAAAAAAAATTAAAATACAGTTTGGCCCATGTATTCTGGCTTAGGACTGGGCCTGTATATCTCTGTTATTAATCATTGAAATTATTTTCTTTTTAATTTATAGATTTTCAAATAACTAAATTTATACAATATATGCCCCTTATATTTTATATATTTATTTCAGATAATCTTAAATCTCACTATACTAAAGAATCTGAAATATGTAGAAACCTAAAAATATCGGTAATATATTATTAATAATTTTTTTGAAGCCTTTTTAAAATGATTTATTTACACATGCCATGCCAATGACTTATTATTTTGTTCTTCATAAACAATAATACTTAGTTTTAAAAAAAATTCTATTTGTGTATTAATTTGAATATGTAATTAAAATTATAATTTTTTTTGGAGGGGGGGGGTAATAACAATGTTGGCCTGTGTGTAATTTTTTTTTCAATATGGCCAAAAGTTATAAAGGCTATGCCTATCATAAAAAATTTATAAATCTGATTTAGGCCCTGTAATGAATTATTTTTTTATTCAATTTGTATAGCACAATTCGAATGAAAAAATATTGTTAATAAGCTTTTTGTTATTCAAAATTATTTGTATTCATACTATTCTTATTTATATATATCCTGGATTTTTAATAAATATATTTTTTCATTTGTATTCATAAGTAAAAATAAAAATTAAATTACCAAATTTCTTAGTGTATTATTTTTTTACTCTATTTCCTTTGCCTGCTTTTTTACTTAATTACATTTTAAGAAAACCTTTACAACATAAGTTTATCACAAAAAAATTTAAAAAGTTCAAATTTGATATATATTTTTGTTTACCCTTTCGTACTCTACTTTTTTCCCTCGATGTATTACTTATAATTATAGCAAGATTTGATAACCATAAATATGAATTAAAATTTTGGCACGAAAATGGTATGAAATATTGATTTTATAACTATAATATGATATAATAACATGAAACAAAGCTAGTTATTGATAAAATACCAAACAGCAAATATTAAGGATTAAAAATATGACATCAAAAGTTATCAATGGCCATTTTTAATGCATTAAAAATACTATTGAAAAATTATGATTCCATGAAAGGTTATTTTCTGTAGCCAATCTCTTACTAGAGGAAAGGCGTACACAATTGAAATAAAAAAAGATGGACATTCTTCTTTTTCCAAATAAATTTCGATTTATAGAATATATTTATTTTTTTGTTATTAATATGGATTATGAAATTAGAAAAATAAATAGAATGAATTCAAAAAAGGGTAAAATTATAGCAATAGTTTCGAAAAATTTAAAAACACCGTGAATTTTCGGGCGTAACGGGCGTGAATCAAAATATTCCTTGTCGTGAGCGGACGGGTCGGGTCGAAAATTTTTTAGTGTTAAAGCGTGAATGAGCGTGATATTTTTTATTACCACCGTGAGCGGGCGGGCCGTGAATAAAAAATTAGGCCCGCGCCCACCTCTAGTCTAATCGCTTAAATATTGATGCATCTACGATTGAGGATTTTTATAAAATAAATATTTTTACCCCCCTTATTGAGACATTTTTATTTCAATTAAATGAAAGATTAATTAGTCACAATTTTATTTTAAATCGCTTAAATATTGATGAATCTACGATTGAGGATTTTTATAAAATAAATATTTTTACCCCCCTTATTGAGACATTTTTATTTCAATTAAATGAAAGATTTATTAGTCACAATTTTATTTTAAACAGCTTTTATTTTCTTTTACCGGTTGAGTCTAAATACACTTGAAACGCGAGAGGATATTAAGAAAATATCAGAGTTTTATTCTGATGAATTATCAGGATCGTATGATAAATTACTTTAATGTCGAATTTTAATATAAAAATTTTGACAGAATAGAATACTCTTTGAGACCAAAATATGCTTTGCAGGCCGTTTCCATCTATAATTGCACTTTAGATTCCCTGCCTAATATCAAAACTTTGCTTTTTATCTTAGCTACCTTACCGATTAGCACCTGAACTAATGAAAGGTCTTTTTTAACTTTGAAAAGGTTAAAAACCTATTTAAGAAATAGCATCGGTGAAAGCCGTTTAAATGAATTCGCAATATTAAATATTTATAAGGAGATTATTCTAGATAAAAATTTGATTAGATGAATTAGTCAAATCTCAGAGAAAAGTAGACCTAAATTATAAAATTGCTATACTATTATAATATGATCTTTGTCATAAAATTTTTATATTCAAGAATTCTTAGTCATGAAGCCGAACTTGCAGCTGACAAAATTTTACTCGATGGTTTTCCCAAAAAAGGAAATGAATATTCCTGCTTCCAAAACTTCAAAATATTGTCTTGTTATTTATCTTATATTAATCTTAAGTTCATCCTCACAGCTTTCATGGGTGATGTTGATGCTTCATCATAATCATCTAGAAATATACGGTCTTTTATGAGTGTAGGATGAATTAGGAAAGTGGTAGTTGGTATTGATCATTTAGAATATACATTTTTTTATGAGTTTGGGATAAGTTAGGAAAGTTATAAATGGTAGTTGGCATCGACTTATGCATATCATCTAATTTTATATCATTTAGCATTTTTAAGATTGTTTTATATATATCGTTTTCTTCTTTTATTAAAAACTTAAGTCTTTTGAAATTCGGATCTAGAATTAAGCCTACCTTGCTGCATAATAATCTTTTAAAATAAATCTTGTTCTGTATTTTAAGGTTTTAATTATTATTGTATCACGTTCAGAAGGTTAACAAGAATTTATTAATTTTTGTTTCCATAGACAAATTTCATTTATTGTGGGACGGGAATCTGCTCTCAGATTGTCCGAGCATTCTTATATTAATAAAAATTTATCTAACTCACGTATGATGCTGATATCAATTTTGGCTAATCCATTTAATTCTTGCTTGCTAAACAAGTACACCTGTATTTCAGAATATGATTTTAAGAAACTCTGTATCATGATATATACAGAGTTCCATCTTGTTATTCTCGCTATTACATATTGTTTAAGGGTGTGGCTTAGTTTGCTAATAGCTGTGTTTGAAATATTGTACCATTTTTTTGCACCATTTATATTTAAGGCTATTTCAGTTAAACAATTGTCAAAAATTTAATGCATAATATTATTTAGTATATGGCATATACATACTAGCGTTTCGTCATCTTTGAATGCACTTATAAGATTTGCTCCGTTATCACTCACAACTATAATTTATTTAAGTAATATTCTATTTCTGTATATTCTCCTAATTGAATTGACTACACTTTTAATTTTAACGTTTTTTTCATCCATTGCCCTTGTGGCTAAAACTAATGTTTTTAATTAAAATTCTTAATGATAATATGTCCTATAATGGTTAAAAAACTTAGATTTTTATAGTCATCCGTCCAAATATCAGTGATTATGGACAACGATCATGCTTTTAATCTTAAATTTTATTTCATGGTATATTTTTGGCCCTATAGTATTCATGAGAGTTTTCCGGTTCACAACTTTTATATTTTGTTATCCATATGTAACACCAACATTTATCTCTTGGCCTAGCTTGTAAAATCCCTCACTTTCTGTTGCATTTAAAGATTAAAGATCTTTACAAATAAAATATAACTGACTTTTCTGTAAAAAGTTTAAGCAAAATTTAGAATAAAGTCTCGCGATAAAAAACACTTAAACATAAAAAGAAAATAGAACTAATAAAATGATACCGGATGTTAATTATAAAATGCTGAAGATTTTTTAGTTTTTATTCTTTATTAAAAAAGAACTAAATTGAATAAGAAAATATATAATATAATTATAAAATTGCAAATTTATATTTATAAAAAACAATTTGCCCGGGGAAAATTTTGAAAAGGCATATCACGCCCAGTCACGCCTTGGAATTTAAAATTTATTCACACTAACGCCGTGACCTACCGTGACACGATGGGTCACGCCTAATTTCACGGCCCGCTCCCACCTCTAGATTGGACTATCTAGAAACTATTCTAGGTTCAAAATATTTCCCAAACATATTAGCACCTTTACTTTTTCATTACATTTACCAACTTAAATGATTTTTCTTTTATTTAAAAATTATAAAAAATTAATTAAAATTTTTAAAACTATCTAATTAGTTTAACATTATAAATTTTATTATTAAATTTATAAATATCTAATTTAACTATGCGAGAAAAAATTTACAATATATTTTTATTTAATATTTTACATATAATTTTTAATATATATTTTTAAACCATGTTATCATTTAAAATTAAAAATTCTTATTTTTTTTTTAATATTTCATTTTCATATCGCATATAATTTTATTTATAAATTGAAACCATTTTTTAAATAAAATTATTTGCAATAAGAAAAAAATTAAAAAAAAAAATTTTTTTAATAAAATTTACTAAAAATTTTTTTAGAAAGTTTTTTTTTAATTAAAATTTTTTTTTCGGACGTCATGGGGGGGGGCTTCAACCCCCCCTGCCCCCTTCTTTACGCAACTTGTACTAATTGATGTTTCTTGAAAGAGTACCACAATTAATCTTAATCCTCTTTCGCCTTAACAATCACATAAATGTCTTGATATTCTTGGTCGATATTATCTCTTAGTTTACTTGTAAAATAATAATATTAGCGAGCCAAATCCTCATTTTTGTGAAAAATATTGAATAAAATTGTTGTGTAATTAAATAATTTATATTAATGCATTTCAATACAATAATATCGGCTGTCATATTTTAGGCCATTATGGTATTTCTTCAAAAGCACTCAAAATAGGCTTTTCTACATCCAAAAATTCTGTAAAAGTTTTATGTCAAAGTCTATATCTCGTCGAATATGCTTTTATAGTTTCTTTCTTCTTGTAGCACAGGAAGTCCTGGAAATCATTCTATTGATCAAATTCCTTCTCTTTGGATATTTAAACTTTTTATACACTAGTAATTTTGCTTAAATATAGTTACTAGAAAAAAGAAATAGAATTTTTTTTGGTTAAAAAATTTTCTTATATACATCAGTGTTTAAGGTTTAAAAAATATAAGCAGATAATACTTTAAATTTTCATGGGATAAAATTTTAATACACAAGTAAAAATATTTCGATTAATTTTAAATTTTTTGCTCATATTAAAATTAAATACAATTTATTTGAAATAAAATACTTTGATATTCACAAAAACCTTTTATATTTTTTCAAAATTTTTTGCTAAGTCTTCGCTGACTACCTGTTTGCCAAGTCCTATTGCAGTGCATCCCCTGCTATTCTGTTTATGCCACTGAATTTATGTAAATTTTTAAACCAACTATTTATTATTTCCTTGGTATCATTAATATTATATACAAGTATTAAATTTATTTATCTTTATCCTTTAGTTACTAGACACTTTTGGTAATAACCTTGCAGATACAAATATATACCCAAAAAAGACCTTGTTTCATAGAAAAATGGCTTATTCAAACAATATTTATGACTCAAATTCAAACAATGGCAATATGGATAATAAAAATTCTGAATCGGAAGAAGAATGGGATAGACATTGTAGCCTTCGTGATGATGTTGACAAACAAGACAGAATTAAGGAAAGATTATTTGAAACAGATAAAGAAATAACTTGGGAAAAGGGTGGTTCCGGTTTAGTTTGGTACACTGATGCAGCTTATTGGGATGCACTAGAAGGCAAAGGAAATGGTAATAAAATTATATTTCTTAATTTAATCTAAGATTAAATCGGAAATTTTCATGTAGTTAAAAATTGAGTGGATAAAAACAAATAAATATTTTTAGATTTTATTAATTTTCTATCATGAATGACATTAGTGACGTCAGTAGTTTTGTTGAAGTCGTTCCTGGTTAACAAACAAGATTCAATTTGTTTCTCAAACAAAGATATAGGAACTAAATGCATACCTTATTTTTTCAAAAGTGAAATGATGAAGAATAAAATATATTAAACAAAATTTTAACAACTGATCAAATCCTCAAAAATTTTAACTCTACCTACATATTGCAGATTTATACATTCGGAAAAAGATTTTTAATTGTTGTTAAATGTTACTAATTACATCAAAAAGATTTAGCTACCTCCGTTATATTCCTAAATAATTAGTTACATTGTAAATTATTTATAATACGTGAAATGACTGATTAGTTATTTGACTTTATCATATTATATCTCATTCATTATTTTCATATGATGATTTCGGGCTCTTCCATGTCAAATCAATCAAAGACACATTTTCAGCCGACCCCTTTTAAATTGTTAAAATTTTTTGGAATTGTTTAGATAGTTAAAAATGAGAAAGCCGTTTATTTTATCTCATTTAGACACCTGATTCTCGAGAGATAGGGCCTCAAAGGTGCAAAAAATACTTTCGAATCTGTAAAAATTTTTAAATGCTTATATCTTAGAAACTATTAATAGTAAAATTAAATGTAATGTATTAAATTGTAAATAAAATCTCTAAAAGTCTATCATAAAAAAATTGGCACTAATTTGAGTCTCTAACTTCCGGTTTACCTATATTGAATTACCCTTGTTTTTAAGCAATAGAGTTAGTTTTTGAAATTTTTTTTGCCTTTCATTTAGACAACGTTTATAAATATATATACATGTGAAAACTTTGCCGACGCTATTGGCTCTTCCGAAATATGCATTTTTATCAAAAATAGAAATTTTTATTTGCATAGAATAGATGGCGTTATATGAAATTACAAATTATGGTTAAAATTTTGTTGCTAAATTAATTTTATTTCGCTTCACGGTACATAATAATATCATAATCAATGATATATAATAATACCTAGACCGATGATTTATACATAATAATGTATTTTAAAGCGTCGTTGAATGCAAATCAGCTGGAGACCACATGACATTCCATTTTATCCAGTATACTTTAAATTATTTGAATTTGGTCTGCTTAATACATATTTTCTTGTAATAATTGTGAGGTAGTATATACTACCTTACTCATACATTAAAATTTAAAAATTTTTATATATACTATACATAACCAAAATGTCATTATAATAGCAGCCTCAGCTGTTTTTCATGGATGTACACTTTTTGTGAATACACGTCAGTCTAGGTATTATTATATCTCTTTGATCATAATATATAAAAATAATAATAACATTAAATAAATACATAACAATTATCATAATTTCTACCAGGAAAAGAATCATGTGAGGTTTAAGTTCCTTAAAATTGTTTTTATTATACCATATAATTGCTGCAATTGATATCTCCATTTTAATTACTTTTTTAAATTTTATGAATTTATTATAGTATTCGAAGAACGTTGTCCTGACGATTGGGATATTGATATGTCTGTTTACGATAATCCAAGTATAGATTTTTTTAAAACATTTAAGTGTCACGAATTTCGATTATTATATTATATAATATAGATTTTGTTATCCAATATCTCAAACAACGATTTTTATTAATTTTTGATTGGATATAAAATAATAGATTTTTTTTGTATTTATTGTTCAAGTACAAAATATACATCATTAAATTACAGAGTCGGTAATCTAGATAAAAAAATGTCGTATCTGTATCTAGGTACACTTTTATAAAAAAGCATATGTATCTGGATCCTATTTTAGAGGTATCTATATCTGTTTTTAAATATTTTTAAGATACATTTTGATTTTTTATCTTAAAAATAAAAATAATTGAATGCAAAATTATTTTATTCCATATGAGCAAATATTTTCAATAAATATATATTAAAAAATATTAAAACTTATATATAAAAAGAATATATAAATTCATTTAATAATTTTTTCCCCATTTAAATTTATAGATATCAGTTCAAGATTGTGAAGAATATTTTTTAAAAAGGAATATATAAATCCTTGCTTAGTAACGCCCATTGTTAAAAACAATCCATTGATGTACTAAATTATTTAAATTATCTTAAGCAAATAAATTTATTTAGAATTCTTAAAAATAATTTTATTGATATTCCGCAAACTTTTACTGAATAAATTATAAGTTTAATGTAATTTTTTTAATATGCTAGTTTTAAATGAGAATTTTCTCGAAAGAATGATAAAAATAGTGGTATTTTTTTTATATGGTGTTCGAATTGAATGAGGACAAAATATAAAAATGTTGCTTACGTATTTTATGCTTTCATAATAAGAGCTTCTCTTCGACAACAGGGAACCCTGTATATAAGTATAATAAAAAAATTGTTTTTGTATCTAGATTCATTTGCAAAGTTTCTTTAAACAAATCTGTTAAGTTATAATGAATAAAGAGAATAAAATCAATTTCTTAGTCTTACTTTTTATAGTAGGAATTATTTTTTTCTTATTGGCCCTTGATCAAATTTCATATTTTATAATCTAGGAAAAATTTTATTCACCTTATTTATAAATTTACAATAATTTCTATAATTTTTTAAAATTTATTCACAATAATTTTTTCATTTTCGACTATAAAAGTCAAAAGTGACGTTTATTTTTTCGTATAAAATTTGAAACATTACAAGTAAAAAAATAATAATATGATTTCTCATCAGTATGTGTTGATATAAATAATATAGTATAGTATTACATTTATTGAAAACATTTGAATAGTGTTGTTAATCGACTGAGTCGATGAGTTATGAACTCGGGTCATGAACTCAAGTGAGTCGTAAACTTAAGTCGACTAGAGGACGAATATTTCAGATTTATTATTATTAATTAAGATATTTGTTCTGTTTTTTTCATTTTTTTACTTTAGACTTTTAACTTGAGTCGTGAATAAGAAATATATAATTGAGTCGACTAGAGGACGAATAGTTCTATAAACTAGAGTCGACTAGAGGACGAATATTCTATAAACTTGAGTCGACTAGAGGACGAGTATTTCAAATTAGATACTATTAATTAAGATATTTTTTCTGCTTTTACATTTTTTACTTTAGACTTTTAACTTGAGTCGACTAGAGGACGAATATTTTAAATTTATTATTATTATACCTCAAACGAATTAGTTGTTATTCGATATTCGACTCGATTCGATTCATATTTTACGAATACGAATAACACAACTATTCGAATCGAATTCGAATAAGGAAGATATATTATTCGTCAAATAATTTTTTATCTATTATTCGATCGAATTATTCGAGATTATTCGATTAAAATAATAATATTGAAAAATAATCATATATTATTAGTAGGAATTATTTGCAATTATTCCTATTTATTAAAATTTCCTGGTGGAATAATGAAGAAACATTTTATATTTCTAAATTTGTTGTTAACGGCTGTTTTTATTCGAATAACTTCATAATATAAAATTAACTTCCGAAAATTGTTTTATGATGAACGAAGAAAGTATTTATTTTTATATGCAATTTATAACACATATACAATTATAATAAACTAGTAGCCATCCCATCAAGAATGACGGGCGAACCAGATATTTCACCCTCGTTTGATGATGGAGAAATCATATATTTTACTTTTTGCAAAAACTTTTTGTTTAAAAAATTTGTTGTTGGTATATTTGTCTTCTACATGATATGAATATTATATTGATTTTACTACATTATATATAAAAATACTATATATATATATGCTTCTATATTATCTTACTATTAAAATTTGTTTGTCTTTTATCCAGTTATATTTTACAAAATAAATTTAATATTCTATCTTTTTTAATTTATGGTTATATAAAATTTTCTAATTGAATTGAATCGAATAATCATTTTATTATTCTTACGAATATGAATAATAAATTATTCGATTTAAACGAATACGAATAATTTTATTATTTGATTCGATTCGTATTTTTGTAGGTATAATTATTATCAAGATATTTGTTATGTTTTTACATTTTTTTTACTTTAACTTCTAACTTGAGTCGTGAATAAGAATTATATTATGAGTCGACTAGTAGACGAATATTTCTATGAGCTTGATTCGACTAGAGGACGAATAGTTTTATGATCTTGAGTCGACTAGAGAAGAATATTTCAAATTAGTTATTATTAGCTAAGATATTTGTTGTTTTTTACATTTTTACTCGAGACTTTTAACTTGAGTCGTGAATAATTATATAATTGAGTCGACTAGAGGACGAATAATTCAAATTAGTTATTATTAATTAAGATATTTGTTCTCTTTTTTACATTTTTTTACTTTAGACTTCCTACTTGAGTCGCGAATACCAACTATATACTTCATTATCTTATTCCTCATTTTATTTGATCAAATAAATTTTTATTTATATTTTTTTTTGAATACTATTCTCAAATAATAAAATATTTTGCAGGTATCTGAATATTTTGAGACTAAGCCTCTAAATTTCGATACTATATGTCTAGACCTTTGCTCCTTCTATGAACAAAATTTTCAAGCTTGCGTAATATTTCTGGATAAAATACTGAGTTAGCCATTTTTAAAAATCGGCTCAAAACGAGCCTTTAACTACACTACATATTACATATTTTATTTTTTTTATTCTAAACAGATATTTAGTATATTACAAATTGATACTATAAAAAATTTGTGTAAATAATTTTGAGAATATACTATATTAATTGTATTTATAAAAAAAATAAAACTTATATTTTAATTAATAAAAAATATAACATATATTATATAATAATGTATTTATTACCTATTATCCTTTGCGTATTTATTCCATGGCAGGAAAACTATAATTATATTATGTAATAGATATTATGAGTGTTAGCTAGTGATAACTTTCACCCAACAGTATATTAATCTAACTATATATAATCATTATAACCATATCTAATTAACGAATATAATAATTCATGTTGTATAAATTTGTAAAAAAAAATTTACGGCCCGGCCCGGATATTTAAAAAAAAATTTACAGGCACGACCCGGGTATATTTTAAAAATTTAAAATACTGCCCGAGCCGGGCTTAGGGCCGGGCCTGCAGGTCTCTGATAATTAGTAAAAATTATCCAAATATCATATTTTTACCACCTTATTCGCCACTATTAAATTCGATTGAAAAATTTTTCGGAGTTATTAAAAATCAATACCGATCGAATTCTCCTAAACCCATTAACCGAATAGAAGTTATTGCAATTGTTAAGAGTATTTTGAGCAGTTATTTTACATTAAATTTTTCAAATTTTTATTCTCACACCATAAAGTTAATTGAAGATGGAATTCTTCGCTTTTTTATATGATTAATTTATAATTGATTTGTTATATTTTATTTATATTAATAAATAATAAATGGTTTTTTTTTATTTTGGTGTCTCGAATTGATCATAAAATAAATCTAAACAAATAAGAATTATCTGAAAACCCTAAATTCGAATTTTCACTCATTTATTAAGAAATTATTCAAATTTCTTATCCTGATTTTTATTCTTTAGATAACGAAAAGTAAAAATTAATATATTGTAGTACTTCAAATTTAATTTAAAAATATTTATAAGTATTTTTTAAAAAAAGTTATGTAAAAATCTTGAAAATTTTTTTAAAAATTCTCATTCATAACTTTGAGTTTAGTCTTCATTATAGTTTAAAAACTTTTATTATTACATTTTTTTTAAAATTATATCAAAAATATATTTTTTTAAATTTTATCAAAATGTTTTTTACAATAATTATGGAAAGTTATTTAACTATATAAAGAATGTTTTTTCACATTATGGAAATGAAATGTGTTACAATCATATTATTATTGTATTACATTTTTTTAAAAAGAATTTTAAATATAAAAATAAACAAAAATATATAACTTAATTAATTGTGTTGTGAAGTGATACGTTAAAAAAAATTTGTTTGTATTTATTTTTCTATCTTTTATTTAATTTTATATTTGATATGTTAATTTTCATATAATTTTATTTGATAGATTATAATAAAGAAGTTCAACAATTTAAAAAAAAAAAATAGTAACAATTTAAATTTTTCTTTAATTCATATTAGAAATTATTATCTTCTTTTTGTAATTTTTAAATCAAAATATAAATCATTTTTTTGGCGTTTTAAAATAATTTCCGTTTAAAAAAAAGAGGATTAAAAACAACAGACCGGTCAGGAAACTTTCTTGTGGCAGCATGCCCAGTTTTAATAATAAATTAGTATCGTTATGCCCCATCATATATAAGAATTTGGTACGAACTTTCTGGCCAATTTGTTTAATTTCATCGCTATTTTTTAAACACGTATACTGTTTTTTTTCTCTAATGTTAAAAATGTATCTTGCACAAGTACATTTGATATTTTTTAAATATTTTAATAGTTATATTAATGACTAAATAAAATAATTACAAGAACTATAAAAATACTAAATTTATATATAGATTAGGAGGAGTGCTACGGTAAATTAACCCGCCATCTCAAAG